AATTTTTTTTTCCTATTCGAATGAAAAAGAGTCCATTTAGTTTTGTCAGTATTTAAAGTTAATTTGTTGGACTTGAACCAGTGGGATAAAACTTTAAGTTCTTTATTCACTGTGACAAAAAGTTCGCCAATATCGCTCTTAGAGATGAATAAATTAGTATCATCAGCAAACATGATGCTCATCAGATTAGTTGCTTTATTTAAATCGTTTATATAAATTAAAAAAAGGAGAGGTCCGAGGATTGAACCTTGTGGAACTCCACAGGTTATACTTAAACAATTGTTGTGATAGTTGTCATTACCAACAACAAATTGTTTTCTATTTGTTAAGTAACTTCTAAACCACCTTAACGCTTGGTTATTTACTCCATAGTATTCCAGTTTTTTGAGTAGGATGTGATGGTCAACCGTATCGAAGGCCTTCGATAGGTCGATAAAAATACCTAATGTATATTTTGATTGTTCAAACGATTTTGAAATTTCATTTACAAGTTGGATAATTGCATGCTCTGTTGAGCTATCCTTTTTAAAACCAAATTGATTAACATAGAGTAGGTTATTTTTGTCAAAGTGTTTATATATTCTGTTGTACATAATTCTTTCTAAGATTTTTGAAAATACAGAGAGCACAGAGATGGGGCGATAATTAGTTATTTGGGATTGGTCACCATCTTTATAAATAGGTGTAACTTTGGCAATTTTTAATTGTTCTGGAAAGATTCCTTGTTTGATTGAGGCATTAAAAACTTTGAAAAGAACATCTTTTAGTTGCTTAAAGCAAACTATTATCACATTTCCATCTATTTCGTCTGGTCCACATGATTTATTCTTTTTAATAGATTTGAGCGCCTTTTCAAGTTCTTCAATAGATAAATCAGAGGATAGCTCATCAGAGCATATGCACTTATCCAAGGATAATAAAAAGTCACTAAACAAAGTTCTTGTGATAGGAATCTTATTTGATAGTTTAGGACCTATTTCAGTAAAAAATTTATTAAATTCATGTGATATAGCGTTTGGTTCAAATATGCTAGTGTTTTCTATTTTAATCATTTGTGGGAGAAAACCAAAGCATGATTTTTGTTTTCCTATAATTTCCTTCATTATTTCCCAAGTGCGCTTGGTGTTATATTTGAATTTGTTAAGTAATTCCGAGAAATATTTTTTTTTTAAGTTTTTACGAATTTTCTCAAATAAATATTTATAGTTTTTGTAAATTTTTTCGTTTGCAGTTGTTTTTGTTTTTAGAAAATTTATGTATAACTTTTGTTTGATTTTGGAAGATTTTATAAACCCCTTGGTAATCCAAGGAGAATTCAAACTCTTTGGTTTTGCTATTATTTCAACTACGGGAAAGTTAGCGTCGTATACAGAATAGAAAGTTTTGAAGAAAGTTTCATATATGTCGTTTGCATTATTGTTTATGTTAATATTATTCCAATGGAGTAAGGATAGTTGGTCTTTGAATAAATTAAGGTTATTTTGATTAATGATACGTTTCTTCAATACTTTTTTGTTGTCAATGTTTTTTGCTGTATATGTATCAATTGTTACAAAAATGGGAAAATGGTCCGTTATATCAGTTTTTAATATACCTTTTTTTATACCCTTATTAAAGATATCAGTTGAAATAATATTATCGATTAAAGTCGCTGAGTTTATAGTTACTCTGGTAGGGCGATTAATGAGGGGGATTGATCCTGTTTCAAAAAATGTGTCATAAAAACTTTTTACTTTATAGTCATTGTTATAAAGAAAGCAATTCATATTAAAATCCCCAAGCAAAATATTTTTTTTCTTTTCGGTATCGCCTTTTTTAATGACGTTATGCAAAAGCATGCTAAGGTTTTCACTCATGCCAGCAGGTGGCCGATAACAACAGCTAACTAATAAGTTTTTTGTTTGGTTGTTTTCAATTTCAATTGTTAAGACTTCTTTGTCGCTATCAGAAATGCTCAAATCGCCTCTAAAAACAAACCTAAGTGTTTCGTGCGCATAAATTAGTACTCCACCACCTCGTTTATTTATTTGTCTCTCCAAAGAAATAATATTAAAATGCGGAATTTGAAAATGACTATTTAGATCTTTTGATGTAATCCACGTTTCTGTTAAACATATTATATTAAAAAGGTTTTTCGTTTCTTCTATTAGATTTAAAAGTTTTTCAAAGTTACTATTTAGACTTCTTATATTGAGGTGGAGAATTCTAATTTGATTCGAATTTTTGTCAATAACATTCTTAAAAAGATACTCTTCTAGTTCGCTTGGAAAAATATACGAACAATCTGAAAAAGTCTCACAATAAAAATTATTGTCGGGATCTGAGTTTTCGTCCTGAGAAAAAAATCCTTTTTCAAAAAAATTAAACGCGAGAGATTCAAAATTATTTAATGCAGCCATGATTGTTTTATAAATGTTTAAAAGAGTTCTTTTTAAGAGTGTGAATTAGTTTACTTTTTTCTATTGTTATCATAAAAAGAATTTTTAAAACAAATAATTTTATCATACCGAACCGCAACATTCTCTCCGTTTAAACGTCTTTGTTTTACGTCAGTAAACAATTTTTTCCTGATGGCAACGGTTTCGAGTGAAAAGTCTTCGTTAACGAAAATGTTTGTTCCTTTTATTCGTTGTAGTTCTTTCAGTATTTTTACTTTATCTTTATATCGTTGAAGGTTGAGGACTATTGTCCGAGGTTTTCCATTTTTCTTTTGTCCAGTGCGATGGGCACGCTCAATTTCAATGTCTTCAACACCAAGTTTTTGTTTGAAAAATAAGTGGACTTTTTCTTCTGTTTGTCCCCAGGTTTCTTTTTCGTCTTCGTATAACCCATCTATTCGTAGATTATTTCTACGTGAACGATCTTCAAGTTTTCGATGTTTTTCTTTTAAAATTTCGTTTTCGATTAATTCCTTTTCTAGTTGTTTGCTATTGTGTTCGATTTTTTTATCAATAATGCTTTCGTTAAAGTTTATGCTATCGCTTATTTCTTCAATTTCTTTTTCAATTTTTTTGATTTTTATTACATTTTCATTAGCATTGGTCTCAAGCTTGTCCAATCTTTCGTTTAAAATTTTCAGATTTCCACTGATTATGTCTAGAACTGTTTGTTCGTGTTTTTTAAACATAGCTTCGGTTTCTTTTTTAAACTCATTAAACATTTCTTTTTTAAATTCACAGAACATTTCTTTAAACATTTTCTTTATTTCTTGAAGAGTCAAAGCCATAATGATTTACAAGGATGCTGAATTGATTTATAAGAAGATATGTATTTTAAAAGATGTTTTGATGAGAAATCAAAAATGGGCTTTTTTGATTTCTCATCAAAACGTCTTTTAAACTCAATGGAAATAAATAACTTTATTTCTCAAGTTGCTTTGCAAGTCCTATTTTTTCAATATTATTGAATGTATCAGACGACTTTTGCAATTTATAGTGCCGACTTATTATCAAAGAGAGAGATATTTTCAACGTCAATTATTGTTTTACTTTTATTTACAGGTAGAACAGCACTTTCTGCATGCTGAAGTATGTAGAAACATTTATTTCTGTTTAGTTTGTTATGTTTGTGTGCTAGTAAATGCAACAAATATTTCCTGAAAAATGACTGCATCTCAATAAATTAGTGTTTGTTTACACTATTTAATACCCTTTTGAAGAGGTTACCAAAAATATGAGTGATAGTACTACCAGCATTTCATTAGTAATTCTACTAATTTACATTCTAAAACACTCTTTGCAAGAAAGTAAATTAGACACAAGTAAAGCATTTAAAACAGCAATAAAACATACCATTGAAGAATTACATTCAACTTTTTCAACGGTTGCTACATATTTAGATCTTTGTTAAAAAACGAAATTTTTAACAAGGTGAATATAAAACATATTGAATCTAAAGTGGCAAGTTTACTCGATAACACAGATGCTATGTAAATCATAGAGAAGGTTAAAATGCTGAGTCTTCTGCTAAAAAACGAAAAAAAAGCAAGCGTTGCTATCAGCAATTAAACCGAAAACAAATTTTAAACTCATTTTATCGATACGTAACGATAAAGAGGACGGCAACTGACTTATTTTATGACCGGCAACCGACTTATTTTATGGAAGTCATTAATGAATACAACAACAAAAAAAAGATCGAATCAACAAAGAAAAACGATCTTTATCAGTGAAGTAAAATATAAAATTTTAAACGATGTTTTAGATTGCTTACCAATATTTATCGTGTCCACCAGGCTCAGTGGCGAGTGAGTAAATTTTTTAACGACACAGGCCTAATAAATACAATCCACATTCAGTACCATTTGCTACTCTTAGAATCTCTTAAGTTGATTTAAAATTAGTAATAACTTAAAAATATTATTTTTTATTATAATATAAGTTATGTGCAAATAGTTTTTTTTTTCTACTAAAGCTCTACCTCCGATTCCGACAAATTAAACTTAGACATTTGGTTTCGATTCGAATAAAACTACCTCTATCAACATCTCTATTACGTACTATATTTCGTACGTCCAAACCAAAACCACGTTGCTCGTTGCTTTTTTTATATCGATAAAAAAAATGTTTACAATATTTACAACTACTAAATTGAACGTATTTTTATTGTTAGAAATATTAAAAAAAAATCATTTCTAAAAAAATAAGTTAAAATGAAAGCGTTCAATTAAAAACGCGACAAATTTCTTTTTTGCGACGTATGTAGACAAAAAGGTTTTTCAAGTCTAAGACATAAGTTTTTCGGACTTTTAAAAAAAATTTAAAAAACACCATCTATTACAAAAAAAAAAAAAAAAAATTATGATCCAGATAGTAACGACCCTGTTTATCAAATTTGATTTTACAAATGAATGAGAAAATTTTCTAGGTAATTAATGATTGTCTATATATATATATATATTCTTTTATATTTGTTTTTGGTTTTATATAAAAAAAATTACCGAAACAACATAAATAAATATAAATATACTTTTTACAAAGAAACTGTGAAGAATTTAAAACGAAGAAAATATTTTCCTTAAGTGTTCTACGTATAAAAAAAGGTTTTATAAAACTATATATTTATTACTATGAAAAATTAATGTTCATACTCATATGTACCAATAGTAAGTTTTTACAATAATAAGTGATAAAATATCAAAAGCTTCTATAAACAGTTTTTCAGTTTAAAAGTTTACTTGACTATTTAAATTATTCTAAATATGAATACAAAAAAGTTAACATTTTAGAAGTCAATATAAAACTACGCTTATCGTTGAAAAAGTTTCGAAAACGTATCGTTGAAATCGCTTCGACTACAAAATTACGAGTATCTTTTATAAAATTTCAACTTCTGTTTATAAAATTATTTAATACTAAAATTTAATGTCATAAAATATAAATAGAGTATTAAAATATTCTCTAAACAGGCTTGTGCTGTGAACAATATATTTTATTATTTAACAGATGGATGTTGCTAACGTTTAGTTTGCGAGAACACAAGTCGCACTTTGCGCACGTGTTGTGAATCACACAAAAATCAATATCGCAACGTTCGTATTTATATGCAGGTTTGTCGCATACAAGACATTTATCGCTCTTGGCAGGTATAGTTGAGGTGTTTGATGACGAAGAATTTATACTAGCTTTTGTACTGATCTTTATTTTAAAACCTGAAGATTTGTTTTGAAGCTAAAGAATGTATGTATATATATATATATATATATATATATATATATATATATATATATATATATATATATATATATATATATTATTATATTAGTAAAAAAAATATACCTCAGATGGAGAACTATGCATCATACTAATTACATTGTGATCTTTAATTGCAGAGTGTCCTTTATTGAAGTTTTCATGTTCAACTTTATCATCATCGTTAGCTGCAAACCAAGAAGTAGATTTAGCATCTCTGCTGTTATCTTTGAGTTTAGGTCGGCTAACTTCAGCGCTGGATAAAGATTTAGATCGCACAATATTCAAATCAGCACTCGATACGGGTGTGTCGATTAAGTCTGTACTTTTTTGCTTTTCACTTAACGTGGAATTCAAAGTTGATTTTTCTATAATCTGGGGTTCTTTTGACGAATTGCTATCATTATCATTATTAGTATTATTCATATCAGTTTCATTAAAAAGTTCAGAATTACGCAACAAATCTTTAGAATTAGGAGTTTGTTTTAATAAAATGCGATTAAACTCGGGAATAATGGGTTCCTTATAAGATTCATTAGGTTTTAAAGGTTTCTGTTTCTTGTCTTGCTCGGATTTTATTGAGTTTGATGTCCAATCAAATTTTGAGGTGGAATGTATCTCATTTAATGGAAATGACGATTTTCCAGAAAGCTTCTCGGTTAAATTTTCACTACTAGGCTTTTTCTTTAAAACGCTTGATCGCTCCATAACAACATCAGTTGGCTTTATGGAAGTGCTAGAAAGCTCTAGGTTAGGATCTTTGGATGAAGGATGTGATTGCTTACTTTTTAAAGAAAAGTCTAAGCTATCGGGAGGGCTGGCGAGTTGAAAACCTGCTTCATTGGATCTATTCCTTGAATGAATGATAGAAATATCTTCTTTGAATCGAGAATCTTTTTGACCAATGGTCACTGTTTCTTTAACAATACTATGCAAATCAAATTCGTCTTTTTCTTTGCTTTCATTTAAAAAAGAATTTTTATTTGAGTCGTTATCTTTTTTAGTAGATTTAACAGGATCAACGCAACTAGGTTTAGTTAAAAAACCCTGTTTATAGTTCCCGCTGTTACGCTTTCCAAGATCTTCTTTCGAAGAGACGGCATAATTTCCACTGTTACGCTTTCCGAGATCTTCTTTGGAAGAAACACTATAGTTACCGCTTATACGCTTTCCAACACCATCTTTCGAAGGAACGCTATAGCCTGCACTATTACGCTTTTCAAGTTCGTCTTTGGATACGACGCTTGCGGGGTTGCGCTTTACGTAATCCTCATGGACAGGAACATAGTTACTGCTGTCACGCTTCTTATGTAAATCCTCTTTAATAGGAACGTCGTTACCATTGCTGCAAGTAAAATGTATATTTTCTTGAGTCAAGTCATTGTTTTTAAAACTATTCTGAACAGTTTTTGAATTATTGGTTTCAACATTAAAACTACGAATGTCCTTTTCTAATTCACGAAGAAAAAAGCTACTTCTTTCACTATCATTATTTGCTGAAGAATTTGTCGGTTTCTTTAGAACATTCTGTTCTTCAAAAACAGATTGCTTTTCTTTAGCTTCATTTTCCATGTTTAGGGTACGTTCACTTTTGGCTCTGCTGCCATCTTTATTCGAATAACTTTTACTTTCTGTTACTTTATTTAATGCTCCTAAAGAACGGCTATGCGAAACACGCTCTTTGTTATTCATTGAGTTCGTTGATCTATTGCAAGGTTTAACCGAAATCAACGGAACGTTTTCTCTACTGTTCGTCGATAAAGTTCTTCTAGTTCTGACAATATCTTCAACTGAAATACCGCCTGCTTTTTTAGGTATTTCAACAGATTCCGAGCGTACTACATTTTCCATCGCAACGGAAGAGTGTTCAAAACTCTCCTCTCCATCAACGTTACATATTGATGTGTTTAAGACGCTATCAAAAAGTTTTTTTGAAACTTCTAACTTAACATCACTGCTTAAATTATTTTCAGGCTCACTAAAGATTTCATCAGATGGTTTTTTGCTGAGGTCAGACTGAAAGCGAGTTGGCTTTCTTCGATTTTGTGGGGCGATTCTAATCTTGTCTTTAGCTGCCGATGATTCAACAGTCGAAGTGATGGAGAACCCATCGATATCAATTGGAGCTAAAGCATATAAATTTTTTATTACCGATCGTAGAAACAAACTCTAACTTTCTATATTATTTTTATATTTTATTTAAAACATTGTTTTGATTTCTTAAATGATTACATTATTATTTGATGCTTTTTGTTTCATGTGTACTTTTCGTTAAAATATTTTTCTTTTAAGTAAACGATTGAAAATCGGTAAAAACAAATGTTTTTTGAATATAAGAATTTTTTAGTTAATATTCAATTCAATGTTTCTTAAATATTTGTGTAGTTTATGCAAGAAACTCAAATTTTTGTATTTCAGTAGTTTAATTTTTTATTAGAATTTATTCCAATAAGAAAATTATATCGCACTGATAGCTTGACAGAAATGTTTAAGAAAAAACACATTTAGAGAAAGGATAAAGTAGACCTAAAGCATTCAAGCGTACAAAAAACCTTAAAACAGCACTAAAAAAAAATTAAATAAAAAAATCGTTAAATGGAACAATGTAAATACGCAATAAAAAACTATGGAACAATGTACAAAATAAGCAATAAAAAACAATGGAACAATGTAAACAACACGCAATAAAAAATAATCACAACTACTACACAAGATTATTGAATATTTAGTTCATTTCCAGCAGTTTTAACTTGTACTTGTATTTTTGTATTTACAAAACAAATCGAACTATACAAAAAGAAATAATAACAAATGTTGTTTTTATTTTGGAAAAATTTTTTTTTTTTTTTACCGAGAACTAAAAAGCTCAAACTATAAGAGCAGAGTTAAATACTAATAGTTAAAAATAACTAAAAACCAGAAAATAGAAGTTTTTACCAAGAACTAAAACCAGAAAATAAAAGTAGTGTTTACCAAAAACGAAATAAAAAAAAGAGGAGAAAATTGAAGCAGTAGCTACCGAGATTTAAAAACTAAATATTAACTAATTGTTTCAAGAACATATAGAGAGCAATATGTTGCTTACTTTTATGATCACACATTTTCAACAAAGTTCACAGCATTTCTTTACTCAAATTACGTAGACTGCGTGTTAAGTACACTCTGTTGCACCAATTAAAAGATTAAGAAGTTTTGTTTTACTTTAAATTTTCTTTGATTTAAACATAAATACATTACTGCTAGTTATAAAATAACTTCATTGTATGTTTCCATTGACTGCTGCAGCGTAATTTCTTGTTCATAGTAATAAAAATATATTTTTGATTCTTGAAATATTTTGTTTTAATAAACATAATAGCAAATAAAATAAAATGAAAAAAAAAAAAAACAGTTTTTATGTTTATAAACATAACTGATCTTTTTTTATATCATTTATTAGAATAATAAATGTCAAATATGCAGTGACACGCTAATAATCTTCAATTCTACCCTCTCACAAAACAATATTTTTATATCAATTTTATAAATATATATATATATATATATATATATATATATATATATATATATATATATATATATATATATATATATATATATATATATATATATATATATATATATATATATATATATATATATATATATATATATATAAAGATCATAACATATCAAACAATTAAGAAATAAAACTTTTTAAAAATTTTTACAATTAAAGATTTATTTTTATTTTTATTATATAATTAATTTTTTTAAATAATAAAAAAATTCTTAAACCTTTATTTAACAAAACTTTTTTTTGATCAAAAAAATATTTTTTCAAAATCAAAAATTATTTCTAGAATATTATGGCTTTCAACTGTAATTTTTTTTTTAATTAAGTCTTTAGTTGTGTAGCCATCATTAGTTACAGTTTAATTCTATTATTAGCAATTGGTGAGACCTTGGTTATTACAAACCTCAAAGCGCTTGTCAGAACGTCAAGACCTCAGCGTTACGTTGTTTGTTTTATAACTAAGATTATTTATAGTCTGTAATTTAACTAAATAAATTTTTAATTTGTTTTCCATATTTACATTAATAGCAATCTTTCTGTTTATAATCGTCATTCCTCCGGTATGTTACTTTTACATATTCTTGGTTTTCAAATATGCTTTACAGACTGTTCATCCTAACCGTTAAAAAAAAACAACCAATGTCCCGCCAAACAAAATCAATTACCCTGCCTTGGCGATATATCGTTTCTGGTCTACCGGGATCTCAGTCACACAAAATAAAAATTATTCATACAAACACAAGCTGAAAAACAGTGCGGTTAGACTGGACAATAGATTGTTTCACCTTTTTTTACGAATTTATATGATGGCTAGTTTTTATTTTGGGCAATTAGTACCTAAAACAAGAAAATAATTATACCTTTGACAAAAAAATATATTTAGCAACATATTTCATCTCAAAAAAATAATGGCCGACTATTACTCCCTCCCCTGCCCCAATTTTTTTTAACCTTAGTATCAAAAAAGCGTAATTTAATACAGATTTAAAGAAAAAAATCAAAAATAAATATTTAAAATTTTTTAGGTTAATTTTTTGAGTTAAAAAGTTTTTTTAAAGAATTTTCTCAAGATTTGTTAAAATGAGAAGCTTTTTTCCTTAAATAAAGTTTAAACTATTTTGTTTGAAAATACAACTTTTATGTTTAAAAATCATACCAAGCTACACTAATTTTGATATCGAGGTTGACCTAATTTGAAAAAAAATATTAGGGGGCAGTCAATTTATTATTGAAATAAAATAAAGCTTTATACTTTTTTAATTAATAAAATTTTCTTGTTTTTGATACTAATTTTTCAAAATAAAAAACTAGCCACCAGAAGTCCTACAGGACATACATTTAAAACATGATTGCATTTTTCAAAAATACCAAATAATGGCACCATAACTAAAAACAAGTATTTAACAAGTAAAAAAACAGTATTTAACAAGTAAAAAAAAAAATTGAGTAACGAAATGATATAAAGTTTGATTGATGCTACTTCTAATTACAAATCAGTAATGAGTTACCGTAGAATAACTTAGTATAAGACATGACAAAACAGTATTGTAATAATAATGAAAATTGATATTTGGTCGAGTACACCACAAAAGATGATAAGGAAGACAAAGACTATAAAGTGCTTTATCAAAAAGAGAATGGATTCCGAAAGAATGGTCTATAATTGTCAAAAAAATCAAAGATGTTTAAAAATGAGAAGTGAAACTAGAAAATTGTCTGGAAGTTTTATGTTAAGTTGAAATTTTGGAGGGTTTTCAGCAAACACAGTGAATGAGATTAAAGAAAAAAACCTTCACAAATGCAGAAAAAACTGAATATTAGTTATAATATAATTGGCTGATACCTTATTAACACAACCCCGAGAATGTTTCCCTAAAATAAGCAACATATTTACTGCCACACCAAATTTTAAAAGTAAAATTAATGCAGCTTTAAAACTAATTAATAACATAAACACGTAAACATAACAATATATAAACAAAATTAAAAAAATTAATTTCTTAAATGTTCAAAGGCACTAAAAATATGAAACTTATTCTTATATATTTAGCCAATCGTTACAAAATTCAAAGATTAATGGATGCAGAATAGTAACAATATATTCACCTGTATCGTCTTGTAACAGTTAGAAAATAAATTAGACCACTGCAATACTTTACTACAAAAATCATTCAACCCTCAGAACTAGGAAAAATAAGGTCGACAATAATTTGTCAACCTCAATCTTTTAGAGGCAAAAAAAATTTGATACAAAGATCTTATTATAAAACATAGAAGCGAGGTTGGCAATTTTTTGCCAATTTCAAACACTTTAAGGTCGACAGTTAGGTTGGCATTGCTGAATGCAGATCCTAATTCCGAGGGCTGATCGTTAGATTTTATATTGTAATAAATAATATTAATAATATATGATATTTTTCTTTAAACTTTTTAACAAAACATTTTAAAAAGGAAATTTAATAATTCTTTATAAAAAGGATATTTTAAAACAATTTTTTAATAAAAACTTATTTCTGTTCTAAAAATATAAAAATGCATACTAATTGCAGCTTTTATGTCTACCTTTTTTACGCGATAAACATGTAACAAACAAGATATTTCTCAATTAATAACAAACTTACAAATGTTCTCAGCTGAACGAATAGATGGCTTTAATGCTATTGAAGGTTTTTTTACAGCAGGAGTTGATTGTTCAATAATATTAGGATGTCTTGAATTAGATTCTAAGCTTGAATTTTCCACCCTTCCTGAAGAATCATCTGTCTTTTGATTATCATTATCTGGCTTTTGTTTACTAATTTTTAATTTTCGTAATGAGCTTCTTATTTTCTGTTGAGTTTTTTCAAGTGAATTCTGCTTTTCTGGTGACTAAAAAAAAAAAAAAATACTTTAAAAGTTTAAAAAATAAACTTTAAATGTTTTTTGTTTTAATTTTTTCATGTCATAAAAAAAAATTTTAAATAAAAAAAAATTGAATTTTTAGTTTTAAATTTGAACATTGCATTATTGTCATTGGGTATTTTAAGATAATACTTTTTTTGTATACTATAAGGTATGCTTTTTACTGTCACATTCCTAAAAAAAACATAAACCTCCATTTAAGTCTTATGGTACAGTTTATTTATCTATGCTACATTATACTTATCCAGTGCCAATTTTTTTGTTACTTTTGTCTACTTAGGGTATATATTTAAAACATTTTAAAAAATATGATAAATAACATAATTAAGTGATGATGAATATTAAAGTTGTTGAGAGATTTAAACTTTAAATAAGAGTATGTTTTGATTGTAACTATCTCCTTTCAATAAGGTAAGGAAATGTGACAAATTAGAATATGGAAAACAAAAGGTTAAAAAACTGGAAACAAGTATGACAAGCCTAGTAACATTAGCATTGGATATAGACCCAAAAGATATAATATCGGAAAAATAGTAAAAGTGAAAAAACTGTAATGATTTAAATAAACATTTAAAAGCAGAAACGAAAAAAAATAAAAAAATTTTAAAGGAACAAATGTTAGTACTTAAATTAACTGATAGTTGGTCAATTGAACAAATTTGTAAAACATTTTCAGTTTCAGAACATCTAGTTTAAAATGCCTGAAAGTTGAAATTCGAAAAAGGAGTACTTTCTAAACTTGATGCTAAAAAAGGATAACCTTTGGAAGATATTATCAAACAGAAAGTCAATGAAACTAATGAATCTGAAGAGTTCACAAGAAAATGACAAGAAAAAAAAGATAAAAATAATAAAGATAAAAAAGATAAAAGATATTCAGAGCTGCATACTTTTTCAGTTCCAAATAATAATAATAAAGTAACAAAGTAAATTTGAAATTTATTATTTTAAATTTATTATAAATAAAATAATAATAAATTAAATTTGAAGAAATATTTGGAAAACGTGCTTGAGCTACCTTGACTAGTTTATTGTTTTTTTACAAAGATAAAAAAAATAAATGCTACTGCATAATTTTATCTGACCAAACAGCAATTCATCACCAAATAGTTCATGGTCAAACAACATTTCGTTATTTTCTCACAAACTTACTCTCTATGGTTAAAACTAAACTACCCACAATTAATGAAGTGAAATACTTCTGTGACGATGTTGCTTCACAGTAAAAAAATTACAAACCATAAAAAGAAAAGCAGAAAAAGCCTACAAACAGCAATAACAGATCTGATTCTTACACCATGCAACATGTTTACGTGGGCTCAAAAAAACATGTTAATATACTTTATCTTTAAAGTGATGATATAAATAATCATAAAACTTTTTTTAACCTCCAGAAACTATATGAAGAGAACAGTTCCAGAAACAAGAAGCTGTTTTGTACCAGAAACTATATGAAGAGAACAGTTCCAGAAACAAGAAGCTGTTTTGTACCAGAAACTATATGAAGAGAACAGTTCCAGAAACAAGAAGCTGTTTTGTACCAGAAATAGTAGAATTGAGAAATTTTATGAATCAGACAAATGGATTGAAGACAAAATCTCTAGTGATAGAAGTGCTTGCTAATATTGGTTATGATGGTATAATTAGTTATGTAAAACAGATATAAAAAAATTTGCGTTTTTTTTTTTAATATTTTGTGCATAATCACTTTCAAATGATTGTTTTACTTTTTATTTTAACTTTTTTGCTTTATAATATGATTCAAGTGCTACTTTTTATTTTTCCTTTTAAACCTAAAAAGGATCACACTCAAAAAGTTACAATTATGTCATTAGATTTTTAATTTTTTTTTATAAAGATATTTCTGTACATTTTAAAAATTTTCACAGTAAAATGTTTTATAATTTATTTCAACTGTTTACACTATTTTTTATGCCTGCAAAGTGAATGTCATGTCAATATAGTTTTTCATAGCTTTTTAAAAAAGTTGTTTTTTAAAAGACTGCTACAAGTATTATATTAAATTTTAATGTACAATTTTATATTTTTACCACAACTGATTACCTTAAGTACACAGAAGTAACACAAAATTGGCAACACCAGTCTGTAGGTATTGAACTGTAGCACATAAAGTTTTGAAAACTTTTCTAACATCTGCAAAAATAGATTATTTGGTGATCATACAAAATTTCAGATGGACACCTTATTTATTTACAAAGTTATGGTTCGTCAATAACTCATAAATTGTTTAAAACCAGTCAAAAACATCTGCAAAAATGGATTATATGGGTGAAAAACTATTACTAAACAAAATATCAGATGACCACCATGTTTTATTTACTAACTTGTGACATTGTAAATCTCTACAAAAGCATTCCACATAATCTTGGTTTACAAGTATTAAAATTCTGGGTTGAAAAACATAAAAATCGAATAGCCGAAAGATTTAACACTGATTTTATCATAAATTCAATTACTTTCATTCTTAAAAACAACAATTTCTACTTTGACAATAAATTGTTTCACTAAATTACAGGAACAGCCATGGGCACAGATTTTGCACCAGACTATGCTTGTCTTACAATAGGCTTTTTAAAAAAAATAATGCTTTTTCCGAAAAATTTTACCAAAATATTTTTCAAAAGAAAAAGTTAAAATTATTGAACAGTTTTATTGTAGATATGTTGATGATGGTTATAAAATATTGCTAAGTTCTAAATGTCCCTTACAGAATTAAATGATTCAATTAATTTTACAATTGATTTTCGCATGAATGCAAAAAGAACGAAAAAATATATAAAGCAGTTAATTTTCTAGACATATCGGTTATCCTTGAAAACAACAAACACATTAAAACTGATAAATTTTATAAAGAAACAAATACTCATGACTATTTAAACTTTAACAGTGATTATTCGTATCATATAAAAAAGAAACCTTATAACCTTGTTAAAAGAATAATCCTATTTATGTCTGATTATGCTAGAAAAAACTACATCTAGTAGAACTTAAAATATGGTTAAGAGTGGGATTACCTTGATTATGTAATAGCGAAAGCATTTCATAATGCGAAGTTACAAGGACCAGCGCCAATAAAACAATCAAAAGATGTTTTCCTTTAGTGCCTACTTTCTATAGTAATTTAAACTGTCAACCAATTTTAACTGAAGCTAACCTTTTACTTAGTTTATCTGATAATGAAAGATAAAAAAAAGTTCTTTTAAGTATTCAACCAGTGATTGCCTACAAACAACCATTACATTTACTGAGAAATTTCACTCTACATCATTTATCAAAAAAATGGGACTATTTAAATGCAAAAGTCTATATAAGTCAGTCTATATAAAATCTGCAGGTTATATTTACAAGAAATAGATAATTTTGAGACATTTAATGGCATTATTTGGAACATTAAAAGTCACAATACATGTAATAGCAAAAATATCATTTATTATCTAAAATGCTTATCATGTAACGGACTAACTATTTATACTGGAAAAACAAACATTTTAAGAAACCGCAAAAATGGACATATTTCCAGTTGCAAAACTGGCAAGAATACTTTCTCTAGAATTTCTTGAGAAATTAAATAAAAATTCTTGAGAAAAAAATTAAAAATTTTATTTGCTTTAATGATTAATCTAATTGAAATAAATTCTATGTTCTTTGCATGTGCATAAGCCAAATGCTGCGCAAGCACAAATTGCATGCGCCACTGTGCGCATCAGACATTTATACCATTTATACACCATTGGCAACTGTTAAAATTTATCATTAAGGCTATAACCAAAGATACATTTTTTACTATTTAATAATATACTCATATGATGTGAAAGAAATAGGCAGGTATAATATTGGGTGTTATTCGAATCAATTGAATCTATGAAAGATTTAGATAAAAGGCGATTGTTTATATTATTGATTTCAAAACAATAATGCCTGGATTCGCAATTTATGGGTGCTCCCTTATACTATTAGAAAAACATAACATTTATATTTTATGTATAAATATAAAAAACATGTTTCTATTATGCCAATAATGTAATTATTAAGATACAGACAGTAGTCACTTTCTGGTATAGATTTGAAGCAAAAGCAATTTTGGTATAGTGCTACTTTCTGGTATAGTTTTGAAGCAAAAGCAATTTTGTTATAGTGAAAGTGCTAAGGTCATGTTTATTATTAATATATAATAATAAACATGAGCATTGTTAAACATAGGCGAAATAAAAAGTTAATGTATGCCAACAGACTAGGTAAAGATAAATTACTAATGATTATTGGTGAAATATTGCACAGTTTCTGATTGTACCATTAACCACTACTCACTTCGCAATCAACTTAAATTACGATTTTTAAACACCAAGAAATCCTTTCTAGTAATTCAGAACTTTTTCCTCCTTTTTTTGTCAATGACACTTAAGTCATCATTTCATTACATTTAGAATCATCTTTTCCCAAAAATGCTTCAGGAACATCTTTTTCTAAAAGAATAACCTTAAATAAGTCTTACAATAACAAATACATTGCAATTCCTCGCATTTTGCTTATGAAATGATTTGTTTGTCCAAATATCAATCGAATAGTAAAACATTGCAATGTAATCCAAATGGTACGCTATTGATAACTTTGAATTTATTTTAAAATAATTCATTCATTGCATTGACTTCTCATTGGCAGGAAAAACCTACAAAAAAAAACTAATAAAAAGATTGAATGATAAAAAAAAAAGTATTTTTATATCTCTGTTTTTTAATGAGCTGAAATTTCAAATATTTTTTTATCTCTGCTTGTTTTAAAAACTGATAAAAATAGTTATTAATAACGTTATTAACACTCATGCGCAGAAACTGTTTAAACTTGATGTCATAAATGAACTTTGTGTTGCTTTAAAACCACTAAAATTGACCATTAATACTCTTTCAAAAGGAGATACTGATCTTTTGTATTCTGAAATTGTGATTGAA